TGCCAAAAATAAATAAATTAAAATCTGTGATTTACAGATTATTGGTTTATCCAATTTTATTTATATTAAAATATTTGAATTATTCATTATTTTTTTAGGAAACAAATAACTATGTTAATTATATATATATATATATGTAATTTTAAAAAATAATCATGATACAAAACAATCCTACTACAGAAACTTCTCTTCACATATATACTCAATCGGCCTATGAGCCCATGTCGAAAAAAACAAAAAATAAAAACAACGAGACTCTCGAACTTCTTCTTCTTCAATCATCAAGCTTCCTCCTTTACCAAAGTAGCTACAAAAATCAACCAAACAAAATTAAGAATATCAACCAAACCGAGATTAGAGAGCTAATAGTCCGTTTGTCTCAAAAGCTAACAATATAATGTTCTTCCTATCATCAACCGCAGCAGTTGTAAAAATCTATCTTATTGGTTGTTTCTTCTTTTTATTTTGTAAATCTAAATCTTAACTATTGGTTGCGTATTGATAATCTTATTTTATTTACTTTGGATAACAATAACATATTTAGAGAATAAGTTTACAGAAAAACAAGATCTGTTTTATTTAATTATCATAATAATAAAACTTGTTTGCAAACGTTAAACATAAGAAATTATACGAACAAGAAGAAATTGACATTCCATTAAAAAACATCACACTAAGGGAATTAAGAAGCTTGAGATTTATTTAATTATCAGATTCATAGAATTCAATATCCAAACGTGTTGTGTTTTCTCCACAGTATGTAATATATGAGAACCTATTCTTCTTTCTTGTAGATGCTTGACATCATAGCTCCTGCAATCAAGTTTTTCAATTCGATACAAAGATATAAGCAATATAATAAAAATTCGTAGGTGATAAAAATGCATTCTTTATAAGCCAACTAATTGTAATAAACCAACGTACCTGAACTAACTTCATCTTCTTGATATGTCGTTGTTGGAATGGGCTTGTTGGTGCAGTCACTTCTGCATTTGCAACTAGACGAACAGCTTGAGAATAGAATCCTGTACATCAAGGAAAAAACCAACAATACAATATCAACAATCAAAATTCAAAACCAATGCAGACAAGAATCTGTAGTCAGACGAGTTTTAGTGATCATAAAAGCCAAAGATAGAGTCAGATTTGGAACATACCCACAATTGCAATCACTGCCACAAAGAGTTGAAGAACAAGGATCCAAGGAGCAAGAACAAATATGCCATGATCTTTAACCCTCTTTTTGATTCTTCTTCTAACCTGAAAACGAAGTTTAACTGTTTGATTGATTTGCAGGAACGATGCACGATGTGAGAGGATACTTGGTGTGGAGTTGTGACCACGGAGTAGCAGCTTGCACCAAATCTTCAACGCCTCTTTCCTCTGCTTATCTCGAGACCTAAATCGCACAAAAGAAGATGACCAAAAGTATCAACGTTAGAACATACATATTTACAAGAATAGTTATAAGATAAATGACACACATGAAATAAATCCAAATATAGCCCTTCACATCAAAACTACTTAGACAGATTCAGAGAAACCCTTCCGAAAAAATGATATAATGTCGGAGAAACAAAAAGCAATTGAGATTTAAAACTATCAGCACAAATCTTGAATCTGTGACAACAAAATCTCAAATTTTGATTACCAGCCTGTCATGAACTTCAATTCAATTCAGAATTCCAGAAAATTTTGATTGCAGAAAATAGCTAAAGCATAAGATCACAATCCAATTCCAATTCTAATTCAATCCAATTCTACTGTTAATTTCATATGAATCTTGAAATGAGAAAACGAATAACAAGATTCAAGATCAAGTGAAAAGAAAATCTAGACCTCGTGGCTGGATTGCGTCTTTGTCGCCGAAATCAGTGACGGGAATCAAACGCTCGCGATCTCTTTCACCAATGGCCAGCACAATCGCCGGCTTCTCGTCTCCTATCGCCGAAAAACTCAAGTCGGAGAAGAAGAAGAAAGAAAGAGAAAGAACAAAGAAGAGAGAATAGTGACGAGAGAAGAGAGAGCCAAAAAGTTTGACGAGTAATTTAACCTAATCCATATTTCTCTTCTAATTCCTTCCTTTTTTCTATATATATATATATATATATATATTTTTTATTTTGTTACTTAAAAATTTTTTTTTGGAGGCAATGAAATTTTCATTTCCCGGTTACCTCTACGATAACGTTTTTATTGACATATATGCTATCGTATAACTAAAAGTTATGCGCCTATATAAAGTATTTTCGAGGTCACTCTATTATAGCGTTTACCTTTTCAAAAAGGCTAAAAAAATTTTCTCAAACTTCAACTATAGCAGAACCATCAAAAACGCTATTATGTACTGCTATTAATACTCTTATTTCCTGTAGTGAGAAAAACCTGTTATTGATAAAACTTAATTGATTTAAAAATGATAACATTAGAATAATGAAAATTAAGAACAAGAATCTCATTTTATGTAGAAAAAGAAATCATTTTCTTACCCTAAAGAAAGAAGAGGAAAAGGAATGAAATTGTTAGCCTAAAAAAAACATTTATAAACATTAAAAATGTAGAGAAGAAACATGAAAACGTTTTCAAAATAAACTGGACATTTGAAACAAAAATCAAAGATCAAATGATAAGAAGTACTACAAACTAATCTTTAGTGTAAGCTGGATCATACAAAATATTAGGTAACAATTAATTGTTTAAAAGAACAGTAACACGAAAATGATCATTTTTATTTTGCTTTGGAATAAAAAAAATCAAAGTGTTTGTTTAGGGTGATGAATGAGAAACTTGATCAGTTTATATAGGGTATAAGTTTAGAGTATTGTCCTTAGGTTAAAGCTAGCTTACAATATAAAATTTAATATTTCCTAAAATTTTGGGAAGATATATATATATATTTGCAAAGATTTTATTGAATTTTTTTTATAAATATAATTATTCTATAGAATATTCTCTGTAAATATGGGTTCTCCGTATCTTCACAATAATTAATTCTTTATTTTTTAAAAAAATCTTAGCCAAGATCTGATTGCAATAATTTCGTTGCATGGATACAAAATCGACCCGATCCAATTAGATTAGCAAATATGTACTTTATAACAATCATAGAAAATAAGGTTTTTCTATCAATTTAATTGTGTTATGTAGCATTAATACATCTCAAAATATTTCTTATCTCTAAAAATCATACCAATAACCGATTATTCGATTTAGTGGTGTTATATTAGCACTAAATCTTCATAACTAATTTCCTTATCTATAAAAAAATCTTACCAACGGGTTATTAGAATTTAATTTTAATGCAATGATCAATAATGTCGTAATTTTATTTGTAGATAATCTTTCCAAAAAAAAAACTACAAAATTTCAAAAATATAGGAAAGATCTGAATCAAAGATTTCCGGGTCTGAATCAATTAAAACCCGACCCGATTACCTTGAGCAAATATGTAATTCAAAAATATTAAATAGATTGTACATATACTTTTTTCTTCATCGATTGAGTAATATATATCCGTTTTTTAAAATTTGAATCATAGCATATGCAGAAAAAAAATCTAAAATTTTATTAACTATATATATTTTATAATAATTCAAAGTAATATAAATATAAGACCAAATAAAAGTGAAATGAGAATCATATATTTATGTTTAAATTAAGTAGAGAGTTTTAGGAAATTAGCTCAAATTTGTTATATTAGCATTAAATCATCATATTTGATTTTTTTATCTATATAAATCTTAATAAATATTCCATAAATAAAGAGTTTAGATACTTAAAGGATATAAAGGATATCTACTTAAAAATTTGTCCATATACAACTTTTTTGTGAAATTGTCAGTTTGGACGATTTTACCCCTACACCCTAATTTAAATGTTTTTTTAAAAAAATAATCATAAAAACAGGTAGATATACAAGAGTAGAGGTGATTTGAAGTGAAAATTTTTAGATTTGGTTTAAAAAAAGTTGATTTTTTGATAGATAAAGTTTCATCTAATTTTGGTAGAACACGTTTTCTAGAGTTCTGCGAAATTCAGAATGTGTATTCTGCATTTTTGTACATGTTCTACATATTTCAGACTAGATTTATGTTCTGAGAATTTTAGAAATCCGAAAATCATATATTTAAAATATTTAGAACATGCAGTCTACGTTTTGTTCTATAATCTAAATATTTTAGAATACCCATTCTAATAATTTCTACATCTTCTGCTATCGATAGAAATTGTAATCTTTGTTTAGAATGTAAATTCTACGGTATTGCAGATTTCGATTTCTGTTATTTTTAGAATGTTTTAAATATAGAAAGTAAATCTTTAGAAAAAGAAACAAAATATAATTTTTAAATTACGTTTTAAATGAATATTTATTGTTTATATTATGATCTACAATATGTAGAAGTCGTTTTCCAATCTTTTTAGACAAAATTAAAACCTAAAACGTTTTCTAAACCCTAAGCTCGTAATTATCTAAGTCGTTGTCTACAACTTTTTTAAAAAAAACTAAGAACACGTTTTCTTTCAAATTCTTTTTTTTTTCTTCAATGATTTGTGCCTTAGTTTCTCAATGGACATCAACATAAAGAGTCATGTGTGGCGATTGTGACATGAGACATGTGTGGGCGGTGAGACCGTTGTCCATGACCAAAAACAATTTTAAATGAAATTCTTAGTATTGTTTCGGTGGTGACTAGACAAAGGATCAATAGTAAATTTGTAAAGTGGAACTTTGCATCACTGACATTCGTTGGGCTTCCCAGAAAAAAAAATGTGATCGACACTACTTTTGATCAGGAAAGAAGCATGTATGAATCTAAAATCTCGGCGTTTTTATAATTTAAAGTGGTGGAGAATAAGCTCTATAGATTTCTATTTAATTTTTGTAAATAAATTAGGAGTTTTATTTTTAAAATCAATTTTTAATTAATTTTGAGAGAAAATGAGGGTAAAATTGGGTTTTGATTTTTTAAGAAACCTATTTGACCAATCTACAAGAAAAAGATATATATGGACAAATTTTTAAGTAGATATCTTTTATTTCCAATTTTCCCTATATTAATTAGTTGAGATTATATATATATTTTTTATATTTTAATTAATAATTTCGTTTTTGAATTTTGCCAAATTTAAGGAAAGATCCGATTGAAGATTTCCGGGTCAAAATTATAAAAAATCCGACCCGATTGGATCGATAAAATGTACTAAAAATGTATA